TCATGCAGGCTGAGAGTGAAATCTCCGTGTAAGTTATGGTAAACCAGCCAACACGGATTCAGACGGCTAATGGATCGCCCACAGAGATTGCATCCCCCTCGTGAACCTAATGGGTCTCATCTTCCAGATCTGTGACGATTATCTCAACCTTTCGAATCCCACCTACAGCAAAAACAAGGGCCTCTGTGAAGACTTAACGGAAGGCAAATTCTCGTTTCCTATCATCCATTCCATCCGCTCGCATCCCGATAATCTCCAACTCATCAACATCCTTAAACAAAAGACCCGGGACGACGAGGTAAAGCGGTATGCAATCAATTATATGGAAAGTACTGGGAGCTTTGCATATACCAGGAAGGTTGTTTCGCAGCTGCGTGATACTGCGCTGGTAATGATAGGCGAGCTTGAGACAGTTCTAGGCGACGCGCAGAATGGCGAGAGTGCAGGAAGTGGGGAGATGGTGCGTTCGATCCTCAATAAGATCGTTGAGCCTACGCTGAAGCCCTGAGCTGGGAAGTCGCTCCGTTTCCTTATCTTTCTCCTCTTGATTATGATTCATGATTGTTGATGGGCTGCATATCCTGGGTTTTGTCGCATGTATCGGGCTATGGTGGCGTTTCTATACATTACTAGAGCATGCAGGATGGCCCTTGTGAATGTCCTTTTAAGCCCGTTTTCTCCTATGATATTTGTCAACGGATATTTCATGTCGAGAATCGTTGTTGCTCGGAGTTAGTTGTTCAGTTGAGACAAATTCCCATGGGGATAGGCTTGACTCCAAAAGGATAGAAAAGTTCTCGATTGACCAACTTCCTTCTGCAAGGAGTACCTCTACAATATCTAAAGTCTTCTTATATAGGCGTAAATTCAAGGGTATCAAGGTAAAATATGAGGGAAAAAAAAGCTATAAAACGGCGCCGAGAAAAGTAACCTACTCAGCTGGTGGTAGATAAATTCTAACCAACGCCAACGCCAACAGTCCATGAAAGCCAATGCATGTGTCTCACATAACAATGCAGCAGGCCTTCTCCAGCTTTCGCAAAAGCCTAGGCAAGCCGTTGGTAATAGCTTGTTCAACAAGGGTATTCTCTTGCTGCTGCTGCTCGCCATGATGCGGCTGCGGAGCGTGTTGTGGATGATGATGCTGGTGCGGTGGATACGACGGCATCTGCGCCGGTCCGCCCGTCAAGTTGACATACATCCTGCCCGCATTGTCTTCCGTACAATATTGCAGGCCAAGGTCGCGACACACCTGCTCCACCCGCGGTTTGAGCTTCTGGACGTGGTTAGTGGAGTGATTCCTTT